GGACGAGGACACGCCGACGTCGGACGACCTGGAGCAGTTCGCCAAGCAGTTCAAGCAGCGGCGCATCAAGCTGGGCTTCACGCAGGCCGACGTGGGGCTGGCACTGGGCACGCTGTACGGCAACGTGTTCTCGCAGACCACCATCTGCCGCTTCGAGGCCCTGCAGCTGAGCTTCAAGAACATGTGCAAGCTCAAGCCGCTGCTGAACAAGTGGCTGGAGGAGGCGGACTCGAGCACCGGCAGCCCCACGAGCATCGACAAGATCGCGGCGCAGGGCCGCAAGCGCAAGAAGCGGACCTCCATCGAGGTGAGCGTCAAGGGCGCGCTCGAGAGCCACTTCCTCAAGTGCCCCAAGCCCTCGGCGCAGGAGATCACCAACCTGGCCGACAGCCTGCAGCTCGAGAAGGAGGTGGTGCGGGTCTGGTTCTGCAACCGGCGCCAGAAGGAGAAGCGCATGACGCCGCCCGGGATCCAGCAGCAGACGCCCGACGACGTCTACTCGCAGGTGGGCACCGTGAGCGCCGACACGCCGCCGCCGCACCACGGGCTGCAGACGAGCGTGCAGTGAAGGCCCGGGCGCCGAGCGGAGCGGGCCGCCACCGCCGCCGCCACCACCGCTGTCACCCCGCCGCCGCCCCCGCCGCCGCCGCATCGGGCCGGGCCGGGCCGCCCTCCCCTCCGCCCAAAGACAGGCATGCCCGCCCTGGGAGGAACGGAGAGGGACGCACCGAGGAGACGTGGTTTGAAGTCCAAGGAAGGAGGGGCAAGCAAACAAACCAACAAACAAAGCATCACAAATGCCCAGACTGTTTTATATACGCGTACATGACAAAACCAGAAGAGAAAAGGGGGCGATCATGCGATCTCGTTTATACTGTGGTGGTGGTTCGTTTTTGTTTTGCTTTCTAAAGAAGGGTGAAGATGCCTAGCGCACCAAAACTGCACTCGTGAGGTTTTTCCCACCCTGAGAATTCCTACATGGCGACGGTGGATAGAACCTAGCACCTGCCTCGTCTTCTCCTCTTAAAAATTGAAAGAAAAAAAGATTTTTTTCTTTATAAAGAAAAGCATCCTCCTCACTTCCACCCCCTCCCTCCAAAGGGCCCCCGCCTCCAGAGAGCCAGAGAGCCACCGAAACTTTGTTTCCTGGGAGCGACCTGAAAGCAAGCAGAGGCACTGGGTTCAATCAGGGGTGACTCTGCGCTCCCGAACCCTGTTATTCTTGTCCATGTTAAAGTCACTTGGGGACAAACTGACTGTGAAACGGGAAGGAGAAAAAAGAACAGTTTCCAGAAAACAAGAAATATATATATATATATACATATATATATATGTACTCACAGCTTCTGAAATTAACAGACTGATAGCAAAGCCAAAAGAAAAAGAATACGTATCCTCAACGTAACCTTGGAAATAAAAAGCATCACGAAAGAGCAGAGGGATGGGCGAGGGAGCAGGAGACGTCCACCGGCGAGTGAGGGAGGCCCCGGCCAGTCCAGGCGCGGGCAGGCGGACTGGGCGTGGAGCAAGGCCCGGCTGCCAACCCCGGCTCATCGGCGGCCGCTCGGGCGGACGACGCCTAGAGATGCCACCGCTAATATTTTTTTTATTAATATTTTTTATTTTTTATTTCTGGACTGACTCAGATCAAGGGAGTTAGAAAGACAGCACTTCTCCGGACTCCTCTCCTCAATCCGTTGCCAACTTTGATCGAATGGGTGCTGTGGAAGTGATTATATAATACTGCCCTTTCCAAGCAGTGTTTTTGGTAGGTTTTAATAAACAGACTTTTCAAAAGACGGCAATATAGAATTGTTAGATCCGTTGTTGATCTAAAAATATTTGCTTTATATTTTCATTAAATGACTTCTTTTAATATTTTATTCAGAATACTTATGAACTGCTGCAAAACGGTAATTTATTTTTCCCCAGATCTTGTATTACGTGTTTTTTTCAGACGAGCACAAATCAAAATGAAATGAAAAAATATGGACAGTTGTTAGGTAATAAGGGTATCTTTTGATGTGATCATTTGATTGTAATTTAATTTGAGTAGTGATTCCGTAAGAGCTGATCGAGAAAATAAATTTGTTAGAATGAAATAGTCTGTGTCTGATGCATAAACACTGTGTGGGAAGAAAAGAGTCCTTTAGAAAATATTTTTTTACTAATACAAATCCTTAAGGGATAGTGCTAAGTGAGGAAGTAGGACCCTGCTCCACTTAAGATATATTTGCAAACCTAGAGTAAAGGTCAATGACAGAAACCGCTAGTAATTGACATAAATAGTCACTCCTTGTTAGTCCATTAATTTCACTATATTCTTCTCTCCCTTAATTTTAGTGGGTGTTTTTAGTATTTTTCGGTGAGATTATCTCAATGCTAGTCTTTTCCTCAGAGATACCTGTGTCCTTTCATCATCTTTATCAGAAAGTTGGACTACATCACCAGTAAAAAAACATGCCAACTGATTATTAATGGTTAATACAGAGTGCCCCCCCAAAGTTTAGCCTCTCTTTTTCCTCTCATCCCCCACCTCTGCCATATCACTACGTCTCTTTCCTCTTCTGAAGATTAATACTTGTAAAGAAAAGCTTACAAGTCGATGAAATATTTTTATATCAATTACTTCTGGCGAATAATTATCTGTAATTAAGTTTAAGTTATTAAGCTGTTTTTTTGGGGGGGGAGTGTTTTGTTTTTCCTATCATGAAAGTAGTTCTAAAATCCTGATTATGGTCCACACTGCATTCTGTCAGTGTGATTACCAGTTCAGACTTAAGCTTCTAGGTTTCTGTGTTTCGGTCTCTCCCCAGTATGATTCTAGATCTTCTTTACTGGTGCTGGGGTTTTTTGCTTTTTGATCACTCTTTAGACACACCCTGCAGAGCGGTCACATTTATCAAGTTAATGTATCAATATTTACAATGTGGGAAAGTGAAAGTGTCATGCCTCAGGTTGTAAGTAACAAGACAACAAGACGCAAGAGGCTCTGCCTAGTTGGGTCCGTTGATATTCTACTTTTAAAAAAAAAGGTTTTGGGGTGAGAAAGCAATGATTTTGCAGATTAATTTCCCCCAATCTCATCGAGCTGTCACTCACTTTTTGCATCTTCTCTCATCTTCACTCCCTCTCTCTGTGATATCGATGCAGGGGTTAAAAAACCCAGAAAACTGTGAGAGCAACAAGGAACAGTTATTTCTTCCAGACAGACCCTGTGTCACTTTCATAAATCAAGCCCAGCCAGATGGCCATGTATTGGGTTGCATTATTTTAAACACCAAACCGTACTAAAAATCACAATCATTTTGATTTGTGAAATCTGAAAAAGGCCATATTTATTAAACAGAGAGCAGGGGGGAAAAATGAAAACAAGAAACCACAATTTACTTTTCTTTGCCTCCTTGTGTTCTGTTTCTCTTGCTATTGTAATCTCTTTGCCCAGCAAATTTACAACCTGGAGTGGGGGGTGGGGACCAACTTCATCATTTTTCCAGGGTCCGCAGGGGCAAGCACAGAAGGCCCTATTGGAAAGCTGGGGATTGGGTGTGGTTGCTTTAATATGGTGGACGCTCCTGGCACGTGAGATGAAATATTGTTTTCCCTACGGGACTGGCAGTGGTTGATCAGACAGGGAATGGGTCTATTTCACACTTTAGGAGGTATCTGCTTACCTATTTGGCTGACAACAAAAGAACTGACATTGGATTTCACACTGTTTTCTATTAAAAAGGAACCTTTGCTGATTACTCTGGAAGAAGCCCTGATTTGGGGGTAGCAGAGTAACTTAGTTCGAGAAGCTGGGAGAGCTGGCCCACTTTCTTTCATTATTTTGTTTTTTTGAAAGTGAGCTAAGGCTTGAACTCCATTTTTTTTTTAAATCAACCCTTTGAATGTATTTACAAAATGAAAGTCATGGCTGGAAAACAAAAGAGGGCAGAGATAACTGAGAGGTTTTGTGCAAAGGCTTATATTGTAACACATGTAAATAATGAAAATATTGTTATATATCACCAGATCTTTTTAATGAATTTGGTCATTGTGTTCCTTTGCAGCGCAAGTGTCTTGTGCTTCGTCAAGTGTCCATTTGTTCCCTCCATTTCAGCCCACCCTCCTCCTCCCCTCCCAACCCAGTGACAAAGTTCTGTTCCATCAATCTGGCTAATCCCAAACTAGGCCCATTTATAATCTGCAGTCTCCTGTGGCCCCTGACCAGTTGTCCAAGCCACAGCCATCTCATTCACCCAACCCTCTTCCCCTGCAAGTCTGGGCGATAAATCATTCAAGGTGTATTTAAAATAGTCACTTTGCTGTTGTTGCTCTGCTTTTTTTTTTTTTAAGGACTTAGCCAAGGACTGCTTCTTTGCTCCAAAACAGAACTATTCATTATTAATCTTAGAGATTCCTTCTGCTTTCCCTGTAGCCTCAGTGTTTGCGTATTACCACATCCATAATCTGTTTTGTATGAATGGTTTTCAACATTCAGAGAATACTTGGTTCTAATATTAAATGCAGTCTATGCTATGGATAGTTTTATCGATAAGTGTAATATTTTAAATAATTTTAACAATTAAATTTGTTTTTTAAATTATATATTTGTAAAGTATTTATCCTGTTGGAAGCAACAATATATTGTTGTATTTATTCGTTTATTTTTGTAATAAATGATCAACCTCTTCAAGCTAAATCAAAAATGACACTTTTATATATGTATACAAAATGCATTTTAAGAGATGGGCCTATTTGCACCAATTTGTATGTAAATAGAGGAGGATCCATCAATAACTTGTAGCTTTCAGAACTAAATTGAAGGAAGAAACATTCTCTCCACATGGAGTTTAGTTTGCCCAAGTTCCAGGGTAATTAATCAAACTCTAAAATGGATGCAACAAGTATTAGCACTGGATGCAGACTTGAAATTAATTATTTAGGAGGTGGACCTGGTTTTTTTCAAGGCAGAAGGATAGAAATGAAAGAATTCACTTCTTTCATGATTGCACGTGGCTGGCTGGCTGGACTGATTAGACTAGATGCTAAGGTATCAGTGATAAAACCCCGTACCTGGCTATTCTCAGACGTCTGTGGTGGGGAAGGGTGTTGAAGGAGAGTTAAGACTTTGGGGTTATCAGTGACCCAGAAGCAAGGTGATGTAGGAAAATGAGTTGTGTGATGTTTTTTTAAAAAATAGATCCTCTAAAAATGTCCCTGAGTGAAGACCCAATTTCTCCTCTTCCTGTTACCGAAGGCAGGAGCAATCTGTACAGGTGTGGTGGTGGTGGTGGCGGTTGTTGTAAGAGTGATACGTGTAGGAAGTGTGGGGGTCACCTCTCCAGCTTTCCAAGTTCTGTAGGTCACTTGGTCATCTCCGTTTCTCAGGGCGGCTGTTCCGGGGGCCTGAAGGTCACCCACGTGACCTCCCGGCTGCTAGAGCCCCACCGTGGGCTTGATCTTGGTTTCAATAAGGAAATCAGAGGGCTCTGGGTTTGCCTCCTGAACTTTCCAGTCTAGGAAAGGAAACAGTGCGGAGGCTGGAAGGGATGGGTGGGGGTGGGGGCGGCGGAGATGGCAAGAATACTTGTGTAATCAGATTCTTTGATTTTGTTAGCCTGGCTCATGGCCTATTAATTAGATTACTCTCTCTTTCATTCTTGATTTCACATCCGTGTTTGTTCCTGTCTCCTAAAATGTGGGCGCAAGCGTGGCGAGCGCTATGATGTCACTGCCGGCCAGCGGCGGCCGCCTGGCCTTCTGGAGGGCCGTGGGCTGCGTTCTTGATGAGTCGGGTCTTCCTCGAGGAAGAGTCGTTCTGGAAGTGACCTCAGAGGGGTCTGGGAAGAGGGCAACTGGCCTTCTCGCGGCGGCTGGGTGCGCGCGCGCGCCGCGTGCCCGTGGATGCGGG